GCTAACGTCCGCCGTCGGTCCGAGGACTCCCAAGTCCAAGGGGACGTCCTGATGCCCCAGATGGCAGGGAAGAGACCTGCACATTGCCCTCTCCGCTGTGCCCCAGTGCCCAGCACCAGGAACACGGGCAGCGGGCCTTCCAACGTGTCCGTGGTGTCTTGAGCCGACTCCGGCCTGCATATCGCCCGCCTTCCCGCAGGTGAACAAAGGCTGAGGGGAGGCCTGGGCAGAGGAAGGGCTGTGCCGTGCGTCGACCTGCAGTGAAGCGGATGTAAGGGTTGGTTCTTAATCAAAGGCGACAGCTTATCAAAAATAACACATCATGGTCAAATGCGCTTTGTCACAGGAAGGCACGGACGGTTCAATAGATCAAAGAAGAAAATGTGATGACCTCGGCTGATTCCGAAAAAGCTTTTAAAAAATCTGCGATTTTAAAAATACCTTCTTAGCAAACCATCGATGGAAGGGGAGTTCACTGACACTGGAACCTCATGCAAACGGAGACGCTGCAGCACATTGTCTTCAAGACCGGAGGCGGTCACGGGCGCCCACACCACGGCTGCTACCTGACGCGGTGCCGGAGGCCACGGCCAGCACGGCGAGGACAAAGGCCTGCAAGTAAGAGGAGAGGTAAAGGTTAGTGATCCTCGCAGAAGATGAGATCACTCGTCTAGAAAAAGCAACAGAATCGACGGACAAACTTAGGTTGCTGAACAAAAGAGCGGCCTATAAAAATCGATAGCATCATCTCGAAGACATACTGCTGAGTGAGTGAGCCAGTCACAGAAGGAAATGCGGTGGTTCCGCGAGACAGAGCAGGTGGGGGGCGGAGCGGGCAGCGAGGGCTTCATGGGGACAGAGTGTCCGTTTGGGAAGATGGAAACTTCTGGAGATGGCAGTGGTGACGGCTGCATGATAGAGTGAAAGTGCTTAATGGCACTGAGCTGTGCACATAAAAATAGTTAAAATGGTAAACTTTATGTTAAGTAGATTTTTCACAATTAAAAAAAAATCAGTGGTATTGTAAAGAAGCCAGACACGAAAAGCCGCGTATCGTATGATTCCATTCATATGAAATATGCACAGGAACAGGAAGCAGATTGGCGGGTGCCAGGGGCTGGGGGGTGCTGGGCACAGGCTTCCTCTGGGGTGACGAGAGCTTGGAGCTAGGTGGAGGTGGTGGTCGCACAATGCTGCGACTGTGCTAATTGCCACTGGAGCGTACATTTTAAAATAATTAATTTCATATTCTGTACATTTCACCTCCATTTTCAAAAGTAAAAATATTCAATAGTGTTGCTCGATATCAGCGATAAGCAATTAGAGAAACAGTAATTCGCGACAGAAGGAGCACGGTGACGGTGACGTCCCGGGGACCCACCCTGAGCTCGAGTGATGAGCAAGAGTCCCTGGGGAGCGGCGGGCTTGGCCCAGGCCTGGGCAGGGCTGCGTGCTGTGGGGCTCAGTGCCCCTCGTGCGTCCTTAGGTCCCCACAGTCCTCTTCCCGCTCACTGAGGACTCTTCCAGGACCTGGGGAGGTTCACTCTAAAGCTTGTGAAAGAAAAAGGCGTGAATCAGCACGTAAGCTCAGCACAGAGGGAAGCGGAGAGCCAGCTTCCCCCGATGTCGGCGGCACAGAGCCGAGCAGCGGCCGCTCACACCTGCTCATCCAGGGGCCGACGGCGCCAGGACGCAGCGACCGGAGAGGCCCGGGACCCCGGCCCTTGGAGCCACCGTGCTGCCCGGTGGCCTGGGGGGGAGGGGCCGCACAAAGCCGGTGACGCACACACGGTCAGGCAAGATCCGGCGCGTTTGGTCGTCGGGACTGCGGCTCCTGCCCTGGGACATGACGGATTGGAGAAGACACCGTCGCCCCTCGCCCGTGGCGGCGCCGCTGGGGTGGCAGCTGACCGCGCTCCGCTGGGGTCTGAACATGCTGAGCCCCTGGCCAGGACCGGCGGCCGCTCCCGGGGAACCGCGCACGTCCTAGCGGCTGCATGACCCAGCGTCACCTGTAGCGGCCGCCACGGCCGCCTCACTCACGGCATCGCCGGGCCCTGTGGCCTCTTGCGCCATCACTGGGAGGGTGACGGCAGCCCAGGGACACACTCCGAGAGCGACTGGGACAACAGGGGACATCGCCCGGGATATGCAAGGGCAGGGACAGGAACCTCGCAAAGCGAGGACACGTGTGAAGGCTGTGGACCAGAATGTTCCAGAACGGGGGGCCCTGAGCCCGAGGGCCTCGGGTGGGGGCCACGTCCAGACCCATTAGCAGTCACAGAGACACAAGTGGGTCACAGGGGTGGCCGTTCCCCATCAGGGCAGGGTGTGGGACCTGGGCCGGCATGGATTCGGTGGCCTGGCTGGGGACGAGGACCCTGGGTGGGGGCCCCCACAGAGCTGTGCGTGAGGCTGCAGGGGTCCTGGCCTTGTGGCCTTGCCCGGGCTTGGCTTGTGTTCTTTTACTCACCTCTCGGTGACACCGTGGAGAGGGCTGGTCCTGCCCCATGCAGGTCCCCGAGGGTTCATCCCACTGTGAGCCTGGACGAGAGCCCCTCCCAAGCTCAACCCCTCCAGCACACAGGGACAGAGCTGGCTCGGCAGCACCACGGCGAGCCACTTGGCCGGCCAGTCTCCGCGCTCTGCGGTGGGTGGTGATGCCATGTCCCATGGTGGCCCAGCGCCCTCCGACGTGGGGTCTGCCCGCCTCGCCCGGCACCGAGGGCGTAGGTCACATCACGCCTCCCTCATGGCTGGAGAAGCTGGAGGTCTTTCTAAGGGAAAACTGGCTTGGGGATTGGCCTTTCCCAGCTCTCTGTGTGCGGTTGCTCAGGGCAGGGCTGGCCAGGCTGGCCCCTCCCCACGGTGGCCACAGGGCCCACGGGAGCTCCGTGCGGCCCAGGATTAGAACAGAACTGCCCACAGGAGTGCGGGGTGGTGTGCAGGTCGCAGATGGCGCCTGAAATGTGAGGCTGTTGAAAAGAAATAGCAAGATAGGCTGGTCCTCTGGGTCTCGCCCAGATAGTGGGGCCACTTCCACCTTTGGGGGAGCTGGTGCTGAGTGGCCTCGCTCTGTCCAGCAGGGCAGGAGGACTGGCCTGGAGGACGGACCCGCCCAGACCTTTCTTTTCTGTCCCCTGTCCCCAGCCCCCCAGGGCAGGCCTCCTGGCTGCTCTCCCCCAGGACAAGTCTCCTGGCTGCTCCCCCGCCAGGCAGGCCTCCTGGTTCCTCCTGTAACAGAAGCCCTCGGCAGCCCTGTGTCGACAGACGGATACACAAACCTGGTTTTCTCGCAGAGCAGAAGTTAAAAATTATTCAACGTGAATTCCTGGGCTGTGCCGCGGAGGCCGGTTGTACCAGGCAAAGGTTTCCACCACATTCCGCAGCCGGGTGAGGAAGCCGCCCCAGGAGCCGTCCGCCACTGCCCGGCCGTCCCCATGGGACCAGGTAGGACAGGCTGACGGGAGCGTCCGGGGGATGCCTGTGCTGTGGGGTCTGAGGCTCCGTCATTGCTCTGGACAGAGCTGGCTCGCGGCTGTCCATTCTGAGCTGCGGTCCAGCCCACGGTCGATCTCTGGGTGTGCTGGTGGCACTCGGGTGCCTGGGACCAGGGGGGTCCAGGCCAGAGCACCGGGGCTTGGGCTTGGGCAGAGCCCAGGAGCCTTTGTGGGGCCTCACAGAAAGCCACGCTCTGCTCTTGGGGGGTGGCTGGCAATGGTGCCATGTGGATATTTGGGGGCGTTTGAAGTAGCTGGGAAAGGTGGGGTTCTCTACCGGGCCCATGCCAGCCAGGGGGCCACCTGAGGTCCCACAGCGGTGAATTCGCCCCGAGGTGACCCACGGGTGCCCCTGGGGGAAGTTGGGGACCTGGGACCCCGTGACATTTGCGGGTGTTTGGAGCTTCCTGTGGGGAAGGTGACTGTTAAGGCCCTAAGCTGACCATGGGGCAGTGGGGAAGGCTCTCGCCAGGGAGACAAGCCGCTCGCTCAGCAGGACACAGGCGTCGCTGGTGTGGATGGGACCCGCGTCCCTCGGAAAGCGGAGGTCAATGCTGCCGGGGTTCGGAGCCCAGGGTGTCATGGTGACGTGGGGATGCGGAAGGAACAAGACCTGGCCTAGGACACGGACGGCTGACAGAGGCGTCCGGCCTCGCGTGGTCACATGGCAAAGGGGTCAGGTCACAGTGCGGACCGGGCAGGTGGACATGGGGTGGGACAACCCAGAAAAGTGGGCGTGGCAGAATACTGGCCATCGAAAAAGGGTGACCAAGGACACCCCCGAGAGCATCATGGGAACAGGCCCGTCACAGCCAGGTTTCCGGTGACCTTCACGTCGAGGGCGTTCCAGCATTCCTGAAATGATGCCCAGGCCCCAGGGGAGGCTTTCATTTCATTTTTAATCAGAATTGCACCCATGTGTATGTCGTTTGACTCACACATTTCTACGAGGCTTAACCAGCAGCCCTCCCGCCCCCCGCACCCCTGCCGGCCCCACGTCCACGCGCAGGCCCGACGGCCCCCGGCTGCCTGCCACATCTGAGGGACTGCACGGCTAAACAGCAGCTCGCGGGGGCTCTGTTTTAGGGGTCAGCGGTGAATTCGCCCCGAGGAGCGCGCTTCCTTCACACCCCTCCCTGCTTCCACACGCGCTTGGGTCCCCCGCATTTCCGGCAAAGGCACTCGCGGCTTCGGCCCGGCTCTGAGCCCGCCCCGGCCCGCACACGTGTGTTTCCCAGGGGTTAATAATCGCCTCCCGGTCCTCACGCTTGCTGGGTTTTCTCCGAACTCATGACTAATTCATCCACAGGCTCTCGCCAGCGGCTTAAATTTAAACTCAGGGCCGTCGTGGGGGCCCCTGCAGGAGCTGGGCCTGGCCCGTCCCGGTCAGCTGTCCCGGGCCCGCGGCAGGGCTGGGCCCCGCGGTCCCCCGGGCCTCCGCCCCACAGAGCTGCTCCGTGCGTCCGCGGCGTGTGGCATTTTCCCGGACTCGCGTCCCCTCCTTCTCCGTTCACTGCTTGTTTGGGTGAAGCGGTCCCCATGGCTTCCTGAGAGGGCACGTGGCAGACACGCGGCTCCGAACGCCTTTGCTCCGCTGTCATGCAGGTGGCAGCAGGTGGCAGCAGGTGGCAGGGCCGCCTGCAGCGCCCCGGCATGGCCGCCATCCTCCCTGCGGACCGCGGAGGCCTCGTCCCAGGGCCCCCGGCTCCCGACGCTGCAGGTAAACGCTGCGTCACTCTGAGTCCTGATCCGCCCACGACACTTGCTGGTTCTTCTCGGTGGACGTTTCTGGGGCCTCCCTGTGGTGCCCCGTGTTCTGACCGTCCGCGAAGATGGCCGACGGCCTTCCTGTCACCTGCTCCTGGCCTTCACTCTGCTTTCAGATGCTTTGGCGCCAACGTCCAGCCCTGCAGCTTGTCGTCCCTGCCCTCACGTGACTCTCCACGGGTCGTCTGTGTTCCCCGGGTGTTTGTTCCCGTGGTATTCTAATCTCCGTGGTCACCGTGTCTCTCTGATCTCTTTGAGGGGGTTCGTGATAGTTTTAAGTTTTCTCCTTGCACAGACTCTGTGTGGAGAAACACAGTAATCTTACGTATTTCCATACTTCATTACAGTCACGTTTACGATATCAAAGTTAAAACTCAAACGTAGAAAAATATTCCACCAGCAAGGTCAGCCAGAAAATCATTGATCTGAGAAAATATTCTACTGCAGGCGACAAGTGTCAAAGTCAGCAGAACGCAAGGGGCCCCTATAAATTGTCAGGGAAAACACGAGGAGCTCTGCGGACAGGCCCGCCGCTGGGCAGCCGGGAGCCAGCATACGTCCGTCCGGTCAGACTCCCGGAGGCGGCTACCAGCTGTCCGGGCAGCAGGAGTCGGTCCCGGGTGGGTCCTAGGAGCGGAGCAGGGCCGGCGCCTGAGCGTGAGGTGCGCTGAGCTGGGGCCTCTCGGGAGCTGGTCAGCAGCGCCAGGCTGGGGCTCCAGCGATAGGGGTTCAGCTCCGCAGGGTCCTGAAGGCCGGATGTCTCAGACGCTGTGTCACTGGGGCCGGCTGCTCCTGATGGCCTCACCAGGTCGTCCCGCTGTGTGCCCGTGCCCTGCCCTCCTCTTCCTGCGGGACACCAGTGAGACGGATGAGGACTTGGCTACCAGCCTTGTTTTAACTCAGTTTCCTATTTCAAAATGCAGTCACATCCCAGGGGACCAGCACCAGGGCTTCACATGTGCCTCTGGGGACATGGTTCAGCCACCGCAGGGTGTTGGGTGTAGCCGTTCCATGCAGGGAAGGGGTCCAGGCGACGGGGGACGGACACAGGCCCCCGAGTTCACATGCTGCCTCCTTCCCGCGAAGTCACCCGGGGAAAGCCTGCTACAGGCTGCCGGCACAGGCGATCTTGAAGGGCTCTGACCTTGAGCAGCTCCAACCTTGAGCAGAGGGGCTCTGAGCTGCCTGGTCCCCTCCACCAAAACCAACGTTTTAGACCCGTGGCTGGGGGGCCGAGGCCAGGGACGTGCAAACACGCTTTGACCTGTGGTCGGTCGGGCCGTGGGTGGAGGGCCGACTGGATACGTTCTGGGGAGTCGAGTCAGCACCCCGACCGCGTGGCTGGGGTCGGCCGCACTCAGCTGTGTGTGCCCGTTTACACGGAGGCGAGCATGGCCGCCGTGCACACGGAGGTGCCTCCCGTGGAGAAAGCAAAAGGAAGATGCCCTCGGTGACACGGTGACATGGTGACTGAGGGGCCTGCTCCGCGCTCCATGCCCTCTGGGCTCCCTGGGCTCCTGTCTCCAACCTACGGCATGTCCTTCCCAAGCAGGGTCATTGTGGGGTGATGCCGCCATGAGGCTGAGGCTGGCCCTCCGCAGCAGGGGGTGACAGGTATGGGGGTGACAGGCGCGGGGGTGACCGGCATGGGGGTGACAGGCGCGGGGGTGACAGGCGTGAGGCAGGCAGCTGGGGCACACCCCTCCCCCGGGCAGGTGGCCAGCTCTCACTCGGTCCGTTCCCAGGCAGTGGGGGCACAGCCAGCGGCCACTGCCCCGAGTTTAATGTGTTTAGTGTTTCCCTCCCTCCCTGTATGACTAACCCCAGACAGCGGACGGGCCTCGGCTCTCAGCAACCTGCCTCCCGCGACCCCCACCCCAAGACAACAGTGACCTTTCCCTCTAACCCGCAGGTGTGTCGGGGTCTGTGGCAGTTTGGGGACACCCATGATGTCAGCCTATCCGTCCACACGGTGGTCCGGCTCAGGCCAGACCCGGGCCTGTCTGGACAAGCGCAGTTTTCTGGAGCTGACCGGGGCGTGGCAGTCTGGGAGGGGTGTCTCCCGCCACGTGGGTCTTTTCTGTCCTGAAAAGGACCCTCTCTGACCTGCTGTCTCGCCACGTGTGCCCTTCCTGGTGCGTGAGGAGTGAGGACTGGGAAGTGCTCTGTCCCCTCAGGAATAGGCCAATGCGAACAGCACAGGGACGTCACCTCACTGTAAATCCAGCGCCACCCCCCCAGGGTCCCAGCGAGTGGCTCGCCCTCCCCCCCAGACCTCCGCCCGTCCACCGTGAAAGCCAGAACTGGCGGCAGCTTCTCCGTGAAACCCGTCCTCACATCCTGTCGACACCAATGACATCCGGGGGCTGCCCCTGCCTCCCAGGATGTCACCACATGGTCCCCAACAGGCAAGGTGGCCCTAGGATGCAAGGTCACCCCGTGCCTGGTCAGCATGGCCATCCCCCCCGGGGACATTTCAGAACTGGGCACGTCTCCAGGACCAGACTGTTGGTGGGAGCAGAGCTGGCCCCGTCAGAAAGTGGAGCCTCGCACTGGTCATGGTGACACGTGGCCTCAGGGTGATGGTGCCACGGCCACACCTCTCCCGGGCGTGGGCAGAACCGGGGGACACGCCGCGCAGGAGGCCGTCGAGGAGGCCATCAACACTGGCCATGACACCCTCCCAGGCCAAAAGGGGAGGTCAGCCATGGGGGTGGGTGGGGGAGGGGGAGGCAGCCCTGGAGGGCTCTGGGCAGGATGGGAGTTTGGGGGCTACGAGTGGAGGACTGTGGGGCTCCCTTGTCCTTCCCAGGTGGGTAGGCAGCTGAGGCCACCCGTAGCTGAATGGGTGAGGCCAGAGGCGTCTTCACTGAGAAGGTGTCCTGGGGGAGGGGCTGCCTGGGCCTGTGGGACTGGGGCCCAGTGGGCCACCACCCTGGATGGGGGCTCAGAGCAGAGGCTGCCTAAAACTAGCGGGCAGGTACTGTCCACACGCAGAACCCGAAGCTGGTCAGCAGTGCACAGAGCTGCCTTTGGCTGCAGGTGGGGACTGGGTCTGGTCCCCTGGGGGCCGCTCTGGGAGCAGACAGGAGGGCGGGTCCTTCTCCTGGTGACTGCTCTAGCAATCTCCCTTCATTTGTCCGGGTTAATTCGAGTGCAGGTGCAGATCTGCAAACAAAGGTG